AGGACAGTCCTCAAGACAGAACCTGCGGTGTGGTGGATTGCTTTTATATGGCCTTTCTCATCATGGTCTTGTAATTCCGACAAAGTGACTGGGTGGGACTATGCAAATAAGGTGCTTGTGGTCCACCAAGGGGATTGGATAAGGAAGACCAAAAAAGAATTGATGCATTTGAATTATGGTGTTGGCAAAGAATGTTGAATATACCATGGACTGTTGCTAACAATGCAAATAAGGTTCATGGTACCTTTGTGGGAGTGGGACCATGTAAATAAGGTGTATGGAACCCTAATGAGGGGATTGGTCAGTTTTGCCATCCTGCTGGGCTTCAAAAGAGCCATACCAGAGACAGTAAGTGGGGGACCTCACTATTACCAAGAAAGAAGAGCTAGGAGTGGAGAGCATCCTTTGGACCTGGGAAGCCTGTGCTGAGACCTCCTAGACCCAGGAGACAGAGAAAGTTGTGACACCAGAGACAGAGAGAAGCAGTGGCAGAGAAATGGCAGCAGTAGAGGCCACAGAACCAGGAGACCAGTAGGAGACAGCGAGTTGGGCTTCCCAGCCTATGGAGTGAGAAACCTGAGTGCTTTCAGGCAGGAAGCTTGCTACCTGAGTTGGGTGCCTCTGGGCACTTATCAGTGGAGCTGAAGAGCTTAGTAACACTTGCCCAAGTGGGGAAAAGGAGAAGCTGAGATGCTGAGGGGCTAAGAAGCTGAGGGCCAGAGAGGCCAGCCTGCAGGCATGGCTGAGAAGAAGCTGTCCTGAATGAAAAAATGTATCCTGAGTCATTCCTGATCCTGAATTGTAACCTGTTACTTCCCTAATAAACCCCATAACTGTGAGTATGGCCTATGAGCTCTGTGTGGATTCCAACGGATTGTCGAACCCAGCAGAGAAGCAGAGAGTGCCGTGGGAGGGACGGTTGGTGTCAGAACTGGTAGAAAGTTTGGAGGGTGGAGGTATGTCTGATCTCCACCTCATAGGAATCAGCGTTGGGCTATTGATGCTTATAATGATTCTTCTCTGCCCTTGTGAAGTTAGAGGTCAGGTGCCCCTGCCACGCCGTTTTTACAGAACCACTCTAGAAAGATCTAGCTCCTGACTGATCCACTTCCAGACCGATTCTAATGCATGGTATCAATAACCAAATTCTAAGCAAGAATGAATGTACCAATGCACCCCACAGCATTTATTAACTCAGGTATTAGGAAAAGGTGAAACTGTCTTTCAGGCTTCATTTATTTCTACCGATTTGTTTGATAACAATGTGCATTTAGAAGATACTTGTCCTTCACTTCCCAATCTCCTTTTACCCTTTGTCAGAAACCTTGCAGGCTCTCCACAGGTAGTTCCGTTTGTAATCCATTTGACACAGCAAGACTCTCATAATTAATGAAGTTCCCTGCAGCACTGCCATTGACCCAGAATGTAGGACAGGAGCAGCGGGAAGGATAGCGGGCTGAGAGCCAGAAGACCTGGATGGTTGTCTGGAGCCTGCTGTGGAGCTGCAGCAGAACATGGGTGGCTCACTCCTCTTTGGTGCCCCTCTTTCTGTCCAGTGTTAAACTAGAAGGATGGTAAAGAATAGGTTGTGTCTAAAATGAAAGTATAATCACTAGCCATGAAAATTCCTACATTTTCCCACTGAAAATCAATTTAACCAAACTATTATTGAGTCAGGTTTTGATTGTGGTAGGAAGAGGGGAAAATATGATTACATCTTTAAACACTAAGATAAACAGAACAATTTCTGAGCTGAGAACTACGATGGAGCCTGGAAAACGGGAATCTCAGTGTTTTTATGATAGACACCCTGGCACTTGCCTGACAGGATTTTCATATGGTTTTCATACCATTTTTGACGTTTGCGGGGCCTGTCTACAAAAAATAGCACCTATGGCAATTAGTTTTAAATTGCTGAATGAGGTCTCACGGCTGGTGATGGAAACTGCAATGGCGAATAGAAACTGCTCATTAGCACCCCTCCTCAATGGGTGCCCAGGGCACGTGCCCTACTTGCCATGCCTTAGTTATGCCTCAGGTTTGAAGTAGGGAAAAAGGTGACCAAGAGTGGTACTTTTCTCTTTTTTTTCTCTGCTTTAAACATATATGTAAATGGAATAAAAAGAGAAAGGAAATCGAAAGCCAGAAACAAAACAGATGGCTTTCTGTAATGGTTTTCCCTCAGAATAATGTTTTGACACTAAGGTCCTACAGAAAAGAACTGGAATAATTTTTTTCCACATTTCACCCACATTATTTCCTGCATACATTAATCTAGAGCTGGATGATACATCACCTGAAAAGAATTCCAGGAAGGTCAAGAGGAAGCCGTATTATGGTTTATCACAGAGAGAGGAATCTGGTTGATTGTTCATTAAAATGGTATCATATGATGCATATTTTAAAAAAAATTTTCCCAGAGGGACTCCAAGAAACCTCCTTTCCTGCCCTCAGGCCTTCTCTGGACACTCTGGTCCAGACTCGCATCCCACTTTATCTACTGGACAGCTCATAGCAATATCTTGCTGGGAGTGTATATTAAACATGAAGAGAACAGAGATGTATCTTCACATACTAAGGGTTTACACCTCCACTCCCACAAAGAAGAGACCTGAATTTCCCACAATTCTTCACCTCAATTTATTAGTTATTTTAAAAGCCTACTGTTCCACTTTCTCCTGAAAAAGCCCTTGCATCTCCTAGATTTTTCCCTTTTCTTCCCTAAATGGATCCAGGATTCAAGTCCTGGGTATCATTTATTTGAATGACTATATCCTTTTCACTCACAGTATCAATCTTTAATAATTATTGTTATATTTTAAACATTTGTTTAAAATTCTAATTATTTTTTGTTTATAAAACTAATACAATTTTATAGAAAATATTTATATTACACCTTTTATGATTGCAAAAATGATCTAGGGAAATAAAATGAAATTTCTGTTTTTCTGTTAACTCATAATTCAAAAATGTCTAGATAAATTTTCACTAAATGTAAAGGAATGTTTAGGATGGTTTGATATAAAACATAGGATACATGGCACCCATGAAATTGAGATTGGGGAACCCTGGGCAGTCATCCACCTGAGCAGCTGAACGTGAGGTAGAGTGAGAGGACCCTGTGCTGTTGATGAGGGAAGACTTGCCAACCATATTAAGGAGCTGAGGACAGCCTCAGATATGAGCCCCAAATCCAAAGTCCCAGGGGCCGATGCTCTGAACCGCAGGCTTAAGATCAGTCTCCCACAGGCACCACACACAGTATGCTCCAGAGTGAGTGATAGCAGGGATTGTTCTAACTGATGATGGTTCAGGACTCTCTGAGCTAGACTGGGTGGGCCAGCTGGTAAATAATGATAACAATAACAACAAAGATAATAATAAAGATAATAATAACAACACTAAAGCATCTGTTGAGTGTTTGCTCTCTATAAGGTGTTGTACTAGGCGTATGACATGCGTTGCTTCATTTGATCCTCACAACAACCTTCTGAAGTAAGTTTCGCTATTATCTCCTTTTTTAGAAATGAGGAAATTGAAGTTTCCCGAAGTTAAACGACTTGTTCCAGGACACAGTGTAGGTAAATGGCAGAGCCAGCATTCAAACCCAAGTAAGGCTAGCCTTAATCCAAAGCCCCTGGTCCTAACCACCATGCTTATTTTCTAGCAACATCCTTCCATGCTGTCGTCAGCATGATCTCTCATCAAGCCAACATGTTGCTACTTTCTTAAAACACTTCCAAGGTACCCAGCGTGCTACACCCATAGCTTAAGCCAATTAGCCCCAGTGACCAGGCCCTTCAAGGGGTGCTTCAAGCCACCTGACTTGAAGCATCCCCTGCCTCTTATTTCCTGACACCCCCACCCTCGCTCCATGCAGGTCAGGCTGCACTACTCTGTGGCCTGTCTGTCTGATGTTTTCACTTTCATCTCTCTGCCTTCTGTCATGCTGTTCCCTGAGCCAAAAAGGTGCCCCCGCTCCTCGCTCAGAGGCAAGCAGACCCTGTACTCCCTTCCCACCCAGGCTCTGCTCAGAGGAAACAAGAGCTTCTTGTTGTTGGTGCCATCGAGTCAATTCTGACTCACAGTTACCCAGTGTGACAGAGCAGAACTGCCCCTTAAGGTTTCCTAGGCTGTAATCTTTATGGGAGCAGATTGCCAGGTTTTTTCTCCCATGGAGTGCTGGTGGGTTCGAACTAGGGCTTTAAACCTGTTCATTTTAGTTTGACCCCCTGCTGAGAATTTGCATTTCCACCCCAGATATACTGAACCAGAATTTACAATATAAGAAGATTCCCCAGGTAATTATTATGGTTTAAACCACCGACATTTTGGTCAGCAGCCCAGCGCTTAACCATTGTACCACCAGGGCTCCTTAAGAGTTTTTTGCTTACCTTCAAAAACTCTTTCCCCAGCATATCTGTACCACTGTCGGAATTTGATGCTTTACTGATGGCTGCTCTGGCTATGTATGCTTAGTGAAAGTGCCTATTAGTCATTTGTACTCATCTTCTCCCTGGGTCTGCAAAGTTGAATGCAGATTTAACGAACATTTACTGTTTATGCCAGGTGTTATTCTACTATGTTCCAGGCATTGTTCTAGGTAGTGGAGATGCTATAATTAACCAAAGCATACAGAAGCCCTTCCTTCATGAAATTTACATTCTAGTGAATATTCCCTTTCCATTTCTGTGTTAGAATATATACTCCTATATTCCAGATAGCTCTGGTGACAGATTGCCTAGATTCACTTATAATCTATGTGACCTTGGTCAAGTTATTTAACCTCTGTGTGCTTCAGCTTTCTGTAAATTGGGGAACAAAATTGCACTCACCTGAGAGACTCCATTCTCTACACCATCTTCTTGAGGAGAGACAAATGTATACGCAATTCCTTCCATTGCATGTGTAAAAAGTTTGCTTTAATTTCTCCAGAAACAAGTCCCAAGGTTACCATGTTGAAAACATCTTCTGCCTCAGAAAGAAATGACAGGACTCACCTTGATTTTTCAATGGTAAAGGCATAGTTTCCCTGAGTTTGCTTAAAAGGTTTTTCATTTCTCGCATGTCTCTGTAAAATTGATAAAAAGAAAGAATAATCAGGCATAAATTTTCAAAATGAAATGTTAAGCAGTCTGTTCTAGGAGACGACTGAAGGATAAGATTCGCTGCTAATTGTACTAGCTCTAGTTTCCAATAGGCACATATTGTTTTTACTAGAAAAAATCTGAGATGGCTTGTCTCAGAAGGGGTGAAAACTTTGCTAAATGCTTCCATAGGGCATTTCCCTGTAGAAGCCCTCATCTCTGCCTCAAACCTGACCTGGCTGAGATCAGAGAAGACCTTGGTAATGAGGACAGTACTTCAGATTTATAAGGAGAGGCAAAGGGCACAAAACCAGAATAATGGGCCTCTGCTGCCCTGGGAAGGAGCCCTGATGGTGCAGTGGTTAAACCCACCAGCTGCTCCAGGGGAGAAAGATGTGGCAGTCTGCTTCCGTAAAGATTTACGGCCTTGGAAACCCTATGGGGCAGTTCTACTCTGTTCTATAGGGTCGCTATGAGTCAGAATCCACTCAGTGGCAAGGAGTTTGGTTTGGTTTGGCTACCCTGGGAAATGAGCCTGGATGGCGGTGCTATCACTGTTTTATAGCCATAAAACTGTTGTTGCTATGCAGGTTCGCTCGCTTGCTGTTGTTCGCTTGGTTTTAAAGTCTCTCATGGCCATGACTGGAATTCAGTGAAATACAGGTGTTAAGCATTCACAACAAGGGCTAACGCTTACTAAACTGACTTGGAATGATGGGAGGTAGTAGGCTAATCACTGAAAATGCATAAACAAGAGGGAGAAATTACTCTGTCCCACCTTTGGCCAAGATGAGGCCCTGAGAAAGAGCCAGCAGCGGGAGTATAACAAACTCTAAAACCTCCAGAGAAGAGCTCTTCACAATGGATAAAAAAGAGAGATGGAGGGAGGAAGGAAGGGAGAGAGAGAAAGAGAGAGAGAACCATCTAAGACAGCACTGCCTTCCTCTGGCCACTAGCATGTCCTTTCAAGCTTCCTGGCTCCTTAGCCCACTGGATACAATGCCATGTACATTTTCAACATCCTTCCTCACCTCAGAGTCCATATGATCATAAAACTGCAGAATTGTAGAGCAGGAAGCTATCTTGGGGGCTTCTTGTCTAGGACAGGGGGCTTCTAGGCTAGAATAGGGGAGATTTGGACTTTCAAATCTTTGGGAAATTGGTTCCCAAATATGTGCACTAGAATCAGCACCTTAACCCCAGGACATAGTGATATATTTCATTTAAGATAGCAAAAATATAACTTGGTGAAAAATCAGATACATCTTTTAGTTAACTCTAGAATAGACAGGCAGTAACAGGCAAGAAGGATTTAAGACTTTTTTTGGGGGAAGACAATCCTAATGTTGAGGAAATTCTATCCATTAACTTACTTTTCTCTGCCACTTAAGGAAAGAGAGCCACAATTTTAGTTATGAAACCCCTCCATCTAGTTCACAAAACACCCTGTTCTGAGGGGCATGGTTTGAGGACCAGTATCTTGGAAAGGACAGAGACCCCATGGGGTCTCCTGAAATACTGACTAATATACGGAAAGAAAATCTGGCCTTGGGAGTAGCTAATTGGAAAAGGAGGAGGAAAGCAGCCTTGTGGATCCCAACTGTAGAAATATAACTGTAAAAGCATTCAGAAGCCTCCTGCCCTAGACTAGTTACCCTCTCTCATCTCAGTTTCCCTCAGTGTGAGGGTGTGTCTGTGGGCACTGCATGCTGATAAGCCCCAAAAGGTATTTCTAGAGACGAAGATGGGCATGGGGGGAGGGGAAGACAGGAGTGCAGTTCCCCACATCCAGAAGTGCAACACATTCTGTTTTCCAGGTAAAATTCTCAAAGGTAGATGGGATGGGTGGAGGGTGAGCAGGCACAAAGGCTAGGAATGCAATACGTGGTATCCGTGCAAGGTCTCCCCACAGAGCACCAATTCTCTTGGCTGATGCACAGGAGAATCACTTTATGCCCTCGCTCCACTCCAGTGGATTCTTATTTGGTTGGCTTATGGTGGCCTCCAGGCTTTGCTGTTTTTTAAAGGCCCTCCTGGTGATTTAATTCACAGTCTGGTTTGAGACCCACTGATCTCTTATGCCCGAGAGCCAGGGAGGACTGAGGAAGCCACCATCCAGGACGAAGTCTGCTGTGTCCACTTCTCTCAGTCTTTCCCATCTCCTTTGACCTCAATCTGGACTTTCATGCTGAACTTAAAAATTGCCGACACCGCAGGCTGTATTAGTTTATTCCTATTACTACCTGTAGCTTGCTTTCTTATAAGCTTTAGCCTTGGATATAGCTGTTGTGCAAGATTTCTGAATAGGAAAATGGCTTTGCTCATTGATTCTGCCCTGACCATGTCATTCTGGCAGATTTTTTTTCCCGGGAATAGAGCAAAAATTTTCTGTTTTATAAATTAACATAAATCGCTCCCTCATCATTTGTCTATAGTTCTAACAAACTGCATCAAACAGCCTTATTGTTTGAATAGTTGGGTTTCCAAGCTCATACAAAATCTAAGTTTTATTAATAGCATATAATTACAACATGTTCCAATTTTCTATAAACACAGAAATTCAGTAATTAGCTTTAGAATTATATTACAATCTGAAAGTAGAACCACAATGGCTATACGTGCTATTGTGTGCCACATTTCTAAAAATAAGAAAATAAAATGTTCATTATCTTGTCAATGACTCAACCCCCACACACAGAACACTCCATGGAATTGCCCCGTATTCATTAAGTGGCTTTGTGTGGCTCTGGGGACATCAGCAGCAAAGGACACAGATAACAGTGTGAAGGCCAATTAACAAGGGCCTTGTCCTTCTGCTTCACGGAATGGCATTTTTAGCATCTAGATGAGACACGGAACTTATTATTATATATTATTATTGCTCTGTTTTCCCAAATGAAATAGAATCACTGTAGAATCTCTTCTCCCCAGGAAAAACACTCCCTCACCATCAGTGAGCTAAAGTTGTTAAGACAAATGCGTTAACTCTCTTTGACCACTAAGGGGCCATCAGGTACATTCTAGGAGAGCAGGAGTAGGGAGCTTTGCGAAACGCTGTTTGTGAACAGGACACGATGTTTGGCCCCTAACTAGCAGCTAAGCAGACCATTCCATATACTGGAAATCTGAGAATCTACTGGAGGCATCTTTGTGTGATTTTGGATTCTTGTCCCTTAAACAAATGGAAATTTGGGGAACCAGCCCAGTGGGTGAACTATGACAGTCTGTAGATCCAACTTTCTCCCTTCCCAAAGAAGCACACGGTTTTCATCTTCCAAAGAGATGCCATGTGTTGGAGTGGAATAAGCAGAGACTTGAGAGTCTGTGCCTACTGTAGGTTCTACTGCTGTTCCCCTGTAGGATTTTGGACTAGTTACCTTCTGTCATTTCAGTTTTCTTATCTATAGATTAGGAAATCTCCAAGGTCCCTTCCAGCACTGTTTCTCTGGTAGACCAAAGAGAGCTCTGTTTCTGAACCTCATACAGAAATTCTCAACTCTCTGGGTGATCCGATAAAGAGCTCGGCTGCTAACCAAAATGTCAGCAGTTCAAATCCACCAGCTGCTCCTTGAAAACCCTATGGGGCAGTTCTGCTCTGTCCAATAAGGTCACTATGAGTTGGAATCAACTCAGAGGCAATGGGTTTGGTTTTATGGGTGGGCCTTAAGAGTATTAACTGGAAGTGGATTGGCAATTTACTCAGGCTAGTCTATTTAGCATAACTTCAGACTTACCTTTCGGTGTTCTCAATGTCTGTGGAAACCTGCCAGGAATGTTGCTGAGTGTCTGTGGGGGATGATGAAGAGTACTCTAGGGCAGGTATTTCAGCACACTCCTCAATTTTGCAGTCCAAACTCCTGGTTTCCCCTTCAGGCTCTTTTCCTAGGGTAGAGAGGGTATTGGCGAAGAGAAGGGGATAACAAGTCATGAATGCAAATTCTTTACCCAAAATGTCACTGTAAAGGCTTGGTGTACTTTTGAGTAAAATGCTACCCTAATAGCTTTCTGAACACTAAAGTAATTGCACATATACATATATGCAATTATATGTGTGCATGTGTGTGATATGTTTTCACACTCATACAATGATAGTTTGGGGCCCACATCTTTCTCCTGTGGAGTGGCTGGTGGGTTCAGATCATTGACCTTTCAGTTAGCAGCTGAGCATTTTAACCACTATGCCACTGGGGCTCCTATATATATTATATATACTACATAAGTAAATAAAATATTATATACATACACACATACACATATATATAAAAGCAATTATTTTAATATGTTGCTGTTGTTAGGTGCCGTTGAGTCAGTTCCGACTCATAGTCCCTATGTACAACAGAACGAAACTCTGCTCTGTACTGCACCATTCTCACAATCGTTGTTATGCTTGAGCCCATTGTTGCAGCCACTATGTCAGTCCATCTCGTTGAGGGTCTTCCTCTTTTTTGCTCACCCTCCACCTTACCAAGCATGATGCCCTTATCCAGGGACTGGTCCCTTCTGATAACATGTCCAAAGTATGTGAGACCAGGTCTCGCCATGCTTGCTTCCAAGGAGCACTCTGGCTGTACTTTTTCTAAGACAGAACGGTTCATTCTTCTGGCAGTCCATGGTATATTCAATATTCTTCACCAACATCATAATTCAAAGGCATCAGTCCTTCTTTGGTCTTCCTTATTCGCATCCAGCCTTCGCATGCACACGAGGAGATTGAAAACTTGGGTCAGGCACACCTTAGTACTCAAAGTGACGTCTTTGCTTTTCAACACTTTAAAGAGGTCTTTTGCGGCAGATTTGCCCAATGCAATACTTTGTTTGATTTCTTCACTGCTGCTTCCGTGGGTGTTTATTGTGGATCTAAGTAAAATGAAATCCTTGAAAACTTCAATATTTTCTCCATGTATCATGATGTTGCTTATTGGTCCAGATGTAAGGATTTTTGTTTTCTTTATGTTGAGGTGTAATCCATGCATTACAAGGCTGTAGTCTTTGATCTTCATTAGTAAGTGTTTCAAGTCTTCTTTGATTCCAGCAAGCAAGGTTGTGTCATCTGCATATTGCAAGTTATTAACGAGTCTTCTTCCAATCCTGATGCTACATTCTTCTTCATGTAGTCCAGCTTCTCAGATAATTTGCTCAGCATACAGATTGAATAAGTATTGTGAAAGGATACAACCCTGACAGACACCTTTCCTGATTTTAAACCACACAGTATCCCTTTGTTCTGTTCAAATCACTGCCTCTTGGTCTATGTACAGTTTCCTCATGAGCACAATTGAGTGTTCTGTAATTCCCGTTCTTCACAATGTTACCCATAATTTGTTATGATCCACACAGTGGAATGCCTTTGCATATTTAATAAAACACAGATAAATATCTTTCTGATATTCTCTGCTTCCAGCCAAGATCTGTCTGATATCAGCAATGATATCTCTCATTTCACATCCTCTTCTGAATCTGGCTTGAATTTCTGGCAGATCCTTGTCAATGTACTGTTGCAACCTCTTTTGAACTATCTTCAACAATATTGTACTTGCGTGTGATATTAATGATATTGTTCAATAATTTCTGCTTTCTGTTGGATCGCCTTTCTTTGGAATGGGCACAAATACGGATCTCTTTCAGTCGATTGGCCAGGTAGCTGTCTTCCAAATTTCTTGGTGAGTAAGCAAGATGAGTAAGCATATCCAGGGATACATCTGTTTGTTGAAACATCTCAGTTGATATTCTGTCAATTCCAGAAGCCATGTTTTTCACCAATGCCTTCAGTGCAGCTTGGACTTCTTCCTTCAATACTATCAATTCTTGATCACATGCTACCTCCTGAAATGGTTGAACGTCGACCGATTCTTTTTGGTACAGCAACTCTGTGTATTCCTTCCATCTTCTTTTGATACGCCCTGTGTTGTTCGGTATTTTACTCATAGAATCCTTCAATTTTGCAACTCAAGGCTTGAATCTTTTCTTCAGTTCTTTCAGCTTGAGAAATGCAGAGTGTGTTCTTCCCTTTTGGTTTTCTGTGTCCAGGTCTTTGCACATTTCATTATAATACTTTACTTTGTTTTATTGAGCTGTCCTTTGAAATCTTCTTTCCAGCTCTTTTACTTCATTATTTCTTTCATTCACTTTAGCTACTTTACATTCAAGAGCAAGTTTCAGAGTCTCTTCTGACATCTATTTTGGTCTTTTCTTTCTTTCCTGTCTTTTTAATGACCTTTTGCTTTCTTCATATATATGATGTCCTTGATGTCATTCCACAACTTGTCTGGTCTTTGGTCATTAGTGTTCAATATGTCAGATTTATCTGTGAGATGGTCTCCAAATTCAGGTAGTGTATACTCCACAAAAATTCAAGCCTCAAGTTGCAATATTGAAGGATTCTATGGGGGAAAATATTAAATGATACAGGAAGCATCAAAAGAAGATGGAAGGAATACACACAGTTACTGTACCAAAAAGAACTGGTCAATGTTCAACAATTTCAGGAGATAGCATATGATCAATAATTGATGGTACTAAAGGAAGAAGTCCAAGCTACACTGAAGGTATTGGCGAGAAACAGGGCTCCAGGAATCAACAAAATACTAATTGAGATGTTTCAACAAACAGATGCAGTGCTGGAAGCGCCCACTCATCTATGCCAAGAAATCTGGAAGACACTATCTAGCCAGTCATCTGGAAGAGATCCATATTTGTACCCATTCCAAAGAAAGGGGATCCAATAGAATGTGGAAATTATCTAACAATATCGTTAATACCACACACAAATAAAATTTTGCTGAAGATCATTCAAAAGCAGTTGCAACAGTACATCGACAGGGAACTGCCAGAAATTTAAGCCGGATTCAGAAGAGGATGTGGAACAAGTGATATCATTGCTGATGCCAGATAGATCATGGCTGAAAGTAGAGAATACCAGAAAGATGTTTATCTGTGTTTTATTGGCTATGAAAAAGCATCCGACTGTATGGATCATAACAAATTATGGATAACATTGCAAAGCGTGGGAATTCCAGAACACAATGCTCATGAGAAACCTGTACATAGATCAAGAGGCAGTGGTTCAAACAGAACAAGGGGATACTGTGTGGTCTAAAGTCAGGAAAATTGTTTGTCGGAGTTGTATCCTTTCACAATACTTATTCAATCTGTATGCTGAGCAAATAATCTGAGAAGCTGGATTATATGAAGAAGAATGTGGCATCAGGATTGGAAGAAGACTCGTTAATAACTTGCAATATGCAGATGACACATCCTTGCTTGCTGAAAGTTAAGAAGAACTTGAAGCACTTTTTGATGAAAATCAAAGACCACAGCCTTCAGTATGGATTACACCTCAATGTAAAGAAAGCAAAAATCCTCAAAACTGGACCAATAAGCAATATCATGATAAACAGAGAAAATATTAAAGTTGTCAAGGATTTCATTTTACATGGATCCACAATCAACACCCATGGAAGCTGCAGTCAAGAAATCAGACAATGCATTGGGCAAGATCTGCTACAAGAGATCCCTTTAAAGTGTGGATGAACAAAAATGAAAACCCTGGATGTTTGACCTCCAGTTTAGTGTTTTTTGTTAGCTCACAGAATCTCTGCAGAATTTTGATCTCATTGTATCTTTTCTAGCTGAAACATTTTATAAGAGACAGAAGAGATCAATATGAATTTAAGGGGTTTTCAATTTCAGAATATATATGGTGTCAAGTTTACTCTGCATGCAATAATAATTGTTCTGATTTATTGGTAGCACTGACTTTATGCTAGGCACCCTCCAGTCACTTTCCAACCGTACTGCGAGTTTATTGCCTTTATAGAATTTATCACTATCAGAAATTATCTTGCTTATGTATTTTCTTACTAGTTTATTGTTTGCCCTCCCCAGATACATCCTCACTCCCATCTCCAAACTATGCATGTATAAACTCTGTGGGGCCAGGAACTTTATCTGTGTTTTTCAATTCTATAAGCCCAGTACCTAGGATGGAGCTTTAAACAGTAGAATCTCAATAGATATATAGCTTTTTAAAATTTTTATTAATCATAGTATATATGTTGTCATGCAGCCTGATTCTTACCCTTTAGTATGACTTAGAGATCTTTTCAAATCCTCACAAATGGACCAGTAAACAAAATCAGGATTAATGAGGAAGAAATTGAAGTTGTCAGTGACTTAATTCTACTTGGATCAACAATCAATGTCCATGGAAGCAGCAGTCAAGAGATCAAATGATGTACTGCATTGGAAAAACCTACTGCAAAAGACCCCTCTTAAAATATTAAAAAGCAAAGATGTCACTTTGACTAAGATGTGCCTGACTCAAGCCATGGTCTTTTCAGTTGCCTCATATGCATGCAAAAGCTGGACTTGAAAAAGGAAGACGGAAAAAAAATTGATGCATTTGAACTGTGGTGTTGGAGAAGAATACTGGATATACTGTAGACTGCCAGAAGAAGGAACAAGTCCAGTTTTAGAAGAAATACAACCAGAATGCTCCTTAGAAGTGAGGATGGTGAGACTCCGGCTCACTTACTTTGAACACGTCATCAGGAAGACCAATTACTAGAAAAGGACATCATGGTTGGTAAAGTGCAGAGTCAGCGAAAATGAGGGAAACTCTCAATGAGATGGATTGATACGACAGTCAAAGCACTAGACTCAAATATAGCAAATGTCATGAAGATGGAAAAGAACCAGGCAACATTTTTGTCCTGTTATCCATAAGGTTTCTATGAGACAAAGCTGACCCAGCAACAACCATAACAACAACAATATTTTGATTTTTGTCATGCTTTTTAATGGATGTGAAATATTTTGTAATAAGGAATTTAGTTATAATTCTTCCTTTTTCCACCATATGCTAGCATCTGTATAAGATCCTT